ACCATCTAGTCAGTTACACCGTTTGGTCACTCACACCATTCGGTCACTCACATCATTTGGTCACTTAGACCGTTCGGTCACTCACACCATTCGACCACTTAGATTGTTCGGTCACTCATACCATTCGGCCACTCACACCATTCGGCCACTCATACCATTCGGTCACTCACACCATTTGGCCACTCACACCATTTGGCCACTCACACCATTTGGTCACTCACACCATTTGGTCACTTACATCGTTCGGTCACTGACATCATTCGACCATTCACACCCTTCGGTCACTCACACCGTTCTGTCACTGACATCATTTGGTCACTTACACCGTTCGGTCACTCACATCATTCGGCCACTCACACCGTTTGTTCACTCACACCGTTCATTCAATTTCTCTTCTCTACCTTTCTAATAATTCTTGAGGTAGAGATTGTGGAGGAAGGAGAGAGAGAGAAACAATATTTAATAAAGATATAGAAAAATGAGAAAAGTTGGGGCATTACAGGAAAAACATAGGAGAGAGAAGAAAATGTGCAAATTCCTTCGCCACGTCAGCTGGGAGTTAACTCTGTTTCTGTCAATTTAACAGAAGGGACTTGATTCATTCAATTTTAACAACGCTGGGACCTAATGTATGCACTTTTAAAAGCGGGTACTAAACTGAAAAAAATCACTTAACATAGGGACCGAGTAAGCTATTAAGCCTTTATTCAATTATATAAGAACTTGATTTTACTAATTTTTTGACACCAAAAATACTATTTTATAATAAAAATTTGGTTTTGTGGGGTTGAATTAGGCTTAAATCTACTTTCTAATAATGTATGAGGATTTAAATAAAGATAAATATTTTTCTTTAATGAATATGAATTTTTTTCTTTAAAAATGAAAATGAAATAATAAAATATGTCCAGTTCTACCATAAATTATTTCTAGGTTTAAACCCTCTGTTGGTCCTCATATTTGTTGGTGAATGTCAAGTGGGTCATCATTTTTTTTTGGGTCTCAATTGGGTCCATATACTTGTAAAATTGAGCCAATTAAGTCCTCTCTGTTAACTTTTCACTCACGGCGTCTAACTGTGATTACGTGGTTCAGGCCGATGTGCATTGTTTGATTACGTGGAATTTTATTTAAATTATGGGGTTATGACATAGGCCATCGCTCGTTCTTCATCCAGTCAGGCCATGGGCCTCGTCGCCGGCCGCCGGTCGCGGTCGAAGCTTTGCCGACGACAGTCACTCCTCAACTCTTGGTTGAAGGATGAAACAGAGGGTCCTCATGTTCATAAGTGACAACCATAATTGTGAAAAGCCTACTCAATGAAACTCATTCAGTTCACTGCAATTTTCAAATCCTCCGAAGTGAAGAAACTTATCTTTTTCCACGAATTCGTTGATCAGTAACATTCCACGAACAACATTTCTCAGTGCTAAAAAATTCATAGGACTGAAGTGATTTGCTTTCCATAAATGAACTTGTTGCAGAAGATTCCAAGGGAAGATACCTGGGACAGTGTGTTCCCCTTCACAAAGCAGCACTGAAAGGTGACTAGAAAGAAGCGAGTAAAATGTTGGAACAAGATTGGGAGCTGCTTACACCGCCATAACAAAGGGTTGGGCCACAACCCTCCACATAGTAGTGGGTGCTAACCATGTTCACTTTGTGGAGGAGCTACTAAAGCTAATGCAGCCTCATGAATTAGAATTGCAAGACTTAAAGGGTAACACTGCATTCTGCTTTGCTGCAGCAGTAGGGAATGTGCAGATTGCTCAGATCATGGAGAGAAAAAATGAATCCTTGCCAACAATCAGGGGTGGAGGAGATTTCACTCCTCTTCACTTGGCTGTTTTACTGGGAAGAACTGAAATGACATGGCATCTGTTCCCTAAAAAAAACCAAACAAATATTTCAAGAAGTCGATTGGNGCAGTGATTGAAGTTTTACCTTCTTTACTCTCCCTGAGTTTCCATATCCGTCTTGTAATATGTCCCAGGCTTCTTTGGCTGTTACTGCTTTAGACACCTTTTGAAATATCGTTGCAGAAATACACTGGTGTAGAAGCATCCGTGCCTTACAATCCAGTCTCTTGTTTTCTTTGTAAGCCTTCTTGACTTCTTCCGTGTCACCTTTTGTAGTTTCTTTAAACCCTTTCTTGACAATTTCATCAACTTCTTGAAATCCCAAGATAGCATCCATCTTTACACACCAATCATCATAATTCTTCCCGTCGAATACCGGCAAACTGCTCTGGATCATTCCTGCCATCACCTTTCAACGTGAGTCCTTCTTCACCAAACAACTCTTTTGTCTGTTCGACGCTTTCACCAGGTTCAACAACCTGTAGCTCTGAATACCACTGATAGAATTGATGTAGAGTAATATCTTGAGAGAAAAAGCTAATATCAGTGGAGGTGCAAAACAGAGAATGGAGAAACGATTATTTCTCATTAACGTAAAAACCAGTATATATACAGAGTAGTATAACTGTCATTTTGACAGTTACAGCAGTTACGTAGTTTAGGTTTACATTTTAACAAACGATACCCAGTAAATGGTTTAAAGTTGTCATTTTTATTAGAGAGAAGAAATCTACGGTGGCCATCGGCCATCGGGTCTGCACCATAGAGGAACCTACGGTGGAGGAACCATTGTCATTGTCTCCAGCGCAACCTTTACCCACCTCGAAGACCAAATCTGGGCCCAAACCAGCGATCCCCACCGCGAAGTAGAAGACCAAATTAAGCATCTCACCAAGGACCCTCAGGTCGTTCCTGCTCTGGTCTAGCAACATGCATACCGTCAAAACCCCCAACATCCGCTTCCATCGCCGCCAACAACGCCCTTCTCCTCTTCCAACGCATCCATCGACAGCCGCGACCTGAACGCTTCTCCACATGCATCATCGAACACCACCACGACCTCGTTAACGAATCCAATCTCTCCCACATCATTTCCCCCTTCCACTCCAAGATTCGGCTAAGCCCCAAAGCCCAAAAAAAAAAAATCAAACAATTTCCAATCTTAACAATTTTTAATTTATCCAAGAGAGCGAATGTTGATCAGAATGTGACAGGGAACCTTGACCTTACGTCTCCTTTGTTTTATAATCAGTATTTCAAGGACTTGGTTGTTGGGAGAGGGTTTCTCAACTCTGATCAAACACTTTTCACATGCCCATAGACAAGGGAGTTTGTGAGATTCTTCAGTACAAATCAAGATCAATTTTTCAAGGCCTTTGTAGAAGGAATGCTTAAAATGGGCGACTTGTAGTCTGGTCGACCTGGGAAAGTTAAGGTTTGAACCATCTTTGGTTAATTAATTTTCATCTTTTTCTTCTCATTCCAACTTTTCAGATTATAAACTCTTGGATAGTTTAGTAAATGAGAAGACGACCTGGCTGAGAAGCAGGAGAGCGACGACATGGAGGCCATAGACGGTGGAAACATCAATGGTGTAGGATCAGAAGGTTTTGTCTTGTGACAGGTCAAACACAGATGATTTAAATAACAAATTCTACGTAATATAGCTCTTATAAATCAGCATATTATATGTACACCACGTCAGCAAACTTTGACGCCGTTTGTGAAAATTTAACGGACATGACTTAATTGGTTTAATTTTTCAAATATATGAATTCAATTGACTCAATTTTACAAGTATATGGACTCAATTGAGATCGAAAAAAAAAACGATGACCCACTTAAGATTCACCAACAAATATAAGGACCAACATATGGTTTAAACCTTATTTCTATTAAAATTTGGCTTTCCAAATAGTAATTTTGAATGGATGTTTAATGTTCATAGTTTGAGAATTTAACTCCTTATAAACTGAAACTGAATTTTGAATGGATTTTCAATGTCTGTGGACAACCGTTCATTGTTTATTCAATTATCTAAGAACTTGATTTTACTAATTTTTTGACACCAAAAATACTATTTTATAATAAGAATTCGGTTTCTCAAAAATCATATATTCAATCTGCACATTGTAAAGATCTATTGTAGTAGATCATGTTGACAAGTTCTTTTTGTGAATTCTTTTTCTTTTGAAATGTGTTTAGTTGCAGAAAAAAATAATCATCAAAAGGTCGTAAAATAATCATTTTTCATAGATTATCATAATAATCATTATAGTATGGTCAAGGTTTTTATCATAATCATTTTTCATAAATTATCCCAAAAAGGTCATAAAATAACTGATTATTTTGTTAAAAATATGTTAAACCAATGAAATGACAAATAAAGTGTTATTTCACAAACATTTTAACTAAGCATTCGTTACATAATTTTTATTTCATCGGATAAAACGGCTTATTGAACAAATTTATCATGAAACTCATTGAAATAGTTCAAAAGGAATTTATAAAATTCCTGAATCATTTTCAAGATACGAAGGACCATTACAATCAAGTTTATGTTTCAAGAAGACTTTAATACCACTTGTGTTACAAATAATTATCATTTTGATTTAATTTCAGACTTTCTAAAACTAATTTTAAAATTATAATTAGGTTATTAAATTCAAAGATTAATATTTAATAAGCTATACAATAAGAAATCATATTTCTTTTCCTATTTGAGACCAAAATAGAAAAGGAAGATGTCAATTTTACATTTATATAAATCACTTATTATTTCTTTATAGTAAGATGATGCCAATTGATTATGACGAACTATCAAACAAAAATCTATAAACAATAAATTAATAACTTTTATCTTGTTTCATCTAAATTCATTTCATGTCATTAAATATGTCAAGCATGTCCAAAATATGTTAATGTAAAATCCAAGAAGGAAAAACTAAATCAGAAAAATGGTCTAAATTGAACGAATTTGGATTTTTTTTGTTGAATTTTTGGTAATATCCTTCAGCTTGATGAGATGAAATAGAGTAATGATAAGATAACACATCAATATATTTAGTTGAGACATGATAAGATAAAATAATCTTAAAAGAATGAATTTTTATATTTTTTCAAGAAAGATGAAAATAAAAAAAAGGGTAATTTCAAATGAATAAAAAAAATTTGTGTCAAAGTATCATTTTCAATGAAATATACAAAGTCATAACCTAAACAAATTTTTGTGAACTTTGGGAACCAATCGACAAGTCAATGAAACTCTACTGGATGTTCTTGATATATTCTTGTACTCTTCCTTTCCTGTTGTATCCAATGCATCCTCCAAGTTAAATAAATCTCCATCTGATTCCTTGTATTTCAAAGCTTGAGTTTCATTTACAGCCTAAAAAGGACAGATTTTGAAGTATGAGAAAAATTGATTTACAATGAATTACTTTGTGCAGAAAGAAATGTAGTAATCTGTACCCTACCCTTACCCCATTGTAGCAATGTATCGCGCAATCTTTTATACCGTGCAAGTAATCTGTGATCACACACAAAAATGTGACTAAATTTGAGCAAGAACAAAAGGTGTTAAGGTTCATAAATTTGTTGTTAATATAGCATTACACAAGGGTTTACTATAGCAGTACCTGAGTATGCTTTGTCCTTGAATATCAGTAAACTGCGAGGCATCAATAAAACAGAGAAAGGGTGGTGATCATCAAGCCACTCATCTTTCCCAATCTCAAAATCAGAATCTTTCTCAATACCATCCTGGGAATCCTGTTTGAATCTTGCATGGGGAGTGAAGTCCATGACTACAGGAGATCCAAGTGATAGAATGGCTACTACTGGAAAATAAGCAGGTCCATCTTGATGTGGCTTTAGAATAAGAAAAATCATTAGGAAATAGTAAAATACACACAAAAACAGAAAAATTTCAAAACAGAAAACACAAAAATCAATGATGAGATGTTACATAGTCTAAAAGGAAGAACAGATGAATGGTCATAAGCAGGGTTGAGGTTCAGGACAAACCATTATGCCTTGATTATGCTGGTATTCGTTGATAAGAACATGGTTCATTGCTGATGGGAACAGCCCAGATTCATCATATATTTTTTGTGTGAGATTTGTTAACCATGGAGGCACTGCATGAGAGAGAGACTACTGATAAGTTAGCAGCATATTTGGAAAACAACACAAACAAAAGTTACTTGCAGAAGACCAACCTTATTTCATTAACACAATATTATCATGTATTCTCCCCTTTGAAAGTTGGTCAAATTAAAAAATAATCAAGTGGAAAATGTCGATCAATGATAACAATGTTTTAATCATCTTCAATTCATTTTTCAAAAGTCAAAGCATTTTGTTCAAAGAGGAGTGAAGTTCCAGAAACGGGTCCCAAAAGTATACACAAAGGCAACAACAAAATAACACTGATGAACTAAGATGATGACAGAATCATTTAATAACTTTTAGTCTGAACAACAGGAAGTGAATCAACAGAATATACCCTTTCTGGTGTGCAATTTCTTTTCATCTTGCAGCAGGTACATAAAAAAGGTAAAGCAAAAGTAACTAAACGACTGGCATAATAGTAAAGCTCGGTTGTCACTGTTAGAAACTACCAAAATGCAGGTTTCTCACACCTAGAGCATAGAGGTTTCTCATATCCAACAGAAAATCATAGCAGGTATTTGTGCAGATAGCATATCTAGATCATAAAAGAATTGCAGATTTCCCCACTTACAAACTTGAGGTAGAAGGCCCTTCTCGTGGACAACACCACCTGCAGTCAACAATCACCAGACAATTGATAAGGAAAATTTCACTTCAAATTTGCTAAACATTTCCAATTCAATTCATTGTATGAGGGAATGAATATAAATATTTTTGACAAGTGCATGCTCAAATTATACAGAGTGTGTTTGGTATGTGGTGTCCTCTTTCCAAGGCATGTTGAACACTGACATGACTCCTGGTCATTGATTTTCAACATGTCTTAGTTTATATTCAAAGTTTGACAGTAACTATTTAAAAACCCTGATTCAACCATAACCTTACAAATTGCCTTGAATGAATACAGGGACTAATTCTAGTATAGGTACCAATTTGAATACCCGTACAATAAAATTTCTAAAACTAAGTACAGAGGATATAGCATACAGAAATATAAAAACATAAACATCAAAGTATTAAAATAAAAAAAAGTAAATACCATTTTCATATTATTCTAAGTCAGGCGAGCAAAAATATTTAAGAACTTAGCGTTATCTGTTATGCATGATCAGATACATAACCATGTATGCACATCTAATAAAAAAAGATAATAACACTTTGACAACATTTTTTTGACAACTTTTTAACATCATCTACATGTTATTATATGATTGGTACAAAATTACTTCACAATCAATAATAATAATCATAAACACGAACCTGAAATGACATGTAAATGATGTTAAAATGTTTTCAAAATAATGTTGTCAAAGTATCTTTATAAAAAAAAAACAGTACCAAGTACATATAGCTGGTATAGGTACCACAATGATTCATAATACATGACAATAACTGAGTAGATAAGAAAAATGATATAATCATAAATCATATCATCAACTTCCCCAAAACAGCAAAAAATAATCTGCTGGGTATTGTAATACTTATAAGGCAAGTTCAGTTCCTCAATTCACTCTTTTCTCCATGATTTATTCTTTCTCAACTCCAACCTTCCAAAAGTTTGTCAAAAAACCATTTACCTCTATATCTGTATATTCTACAAAAAAAGCATACCCCAATTCTGTAGCCTTCTATTCTTTAACATCTTCCACTTTGATGCAGGGGTTTCATAAATCTAACAACAGGCAGAAACCCCATCATTAAAAAAATGAATATTTAAGAAACATTAAATAGAACAATGAGAAGCAGAATGAGAGTGAGTACTACGTTGTTTAGAAGAAGGCTTTGGTCACTGTCCGTTATGAAGTCAGGAACGTAGAAGAGAGTTGGCAAAGACCCAACTTTGTAACGACCCAAATTATCTTTTTCCTCCATTACTCTCTGGCAAATCAAGGGTTTTCAATGTCTTCAAAAAGTAAATAAAAAGAGAAACTTTACCACAACAGTGTGTTGGCAATAAGCATGCCAAATATTTAATCAATTATACACATAAAGGGAAAATGGTTTTATAATTTGAGAGAGTGGGAAAGAGAGAACCTGCTGGGCCTGCCGGAGGTGCGGTGGCAGCGGCGGAGAGGAGATAGTCGTTCGAGTTTGGGCGGTGGGTGACTTGAAGAATCTCAGCTTTACACAAATGCAATAAATAAATAAAGATGATAAATTATTCTCCAAATATATATCTTTTAATTATATATATCTTTTAATTATTTTGATAATGTTTTAACACTGCCGTTTTAAATATTTAATTAAATGATTTTTATTATTCATTTTAATGAAAAATATCTTAGGAATAATATTTTTATAGACATAATTAATAGAGTTAAACTATATGAACTAAACCTTGTTCAGTTAATTTCATCCTATGATCAAACCGTTGTTAAGGTTCCAAGAACAGAGGATGATTTTGCTTTTGGAGCCATGCTAAGGGTGGTCTAACAATGGCACACAAAACCCTCTTCAGACCAACTTTCATTCTCACACTCCACAAAATGCCCATTCCAGTTTCATACCGCTCATTTCGCCCCTCTCAACAACTCTTTTCCTTCCTCAACACCCTCCGAATCCCACTTCCTGCAACAGCAAGAACAACCAGCAACACTCACACCCACTTATGGTGCTCTAATTTCAGCACCAATACGGCAATTGAGGGTTCAGAAAAATGTTACCTTTACCTCACGGACGAGGATTTGATGCGGCAGTGCGAGATGGATACCTTCAAGGCCTCAGGACCTGGTGGTCAACACCGTAACAAGCGCGAGTCCGCAGTGCGCCTCAAACACCTCCCCACAGGAATCATTGCTCAGGTTTCTCCCCTTTCCAATCTCAAAATCTCATCTTGCTTCATTTCACGTCATGGGGTTGTTGTTGTTGCTTGTTTAGGCTTCAGAAGACCGCTCCCAGCACAAGAACCGCGCTTCTGCGTTGAATCGCCTTCGCTCTCTTATTGCACTCAAAGGTATCCGTTTCACTGTTTGTGTTGGTAACCAGAGAGGATGTGAAGGATATATAGATCATAGGAATTAGCTAAATAAAGAGTATGCGCAGAAGGTAACATGTTGAACTGATAAAAGATTAAAAAAATGTACATGGTGCTCTTATACATGTTATATTACACTGGGCATTAACTAATCCCAACAAATTCACTATAAGTTACTTACTCTGATAGAATTTTACACTTATCCTAGTTTGTTTGCATGCTGTTCCTAGTTTGATTGTTTGATTCATTCCTTGTTTCTTGTGTCACATTGCAATTTGCACGTAATGAATCAGCTGGTTGACAAAATTTTTGCGTTAGACTGCTGTGCTCAAGTGAGTGCACTAGTTAAGTGTGAGTAAACCCTCTCTCTGGCTTGTTTATTTAAGTTTTACCAAAGGACAAGCTTTTGGCGTTTTTTTTCTTATCATGTGAGTCGACTGAGTTGAACTTTCAATTTTAATGGAAAAAATGAGAAATGTTTGTAATGCGCTCTTTATTTTTGGCTAAAATTGATTGGAATCCATATAATTTTGTAGGTTTCCCTTCTTATTTATTAAGATTCACTTTTGGTTTTACAGTAGTTAATAATTTTAACTAATAATAAAGGGTTAGAAAGATCGTATTAGAAGTTGTATTGCTAGTACTCCTATTGGATAATAGCATAAAAAACTTGTAAGGAGTTGCATTTAAATGCTATTGTCCTTTACCAAAAGCTCACATTCGTCCCCAACTTTGGAAATCACTGTTCTTTCTGTGGATTTAAATGACTTGAAGTTTTACTGAAGTTAGGGACTAAAGAGTGGGACTATAGAGTTTCAAGGACTAGAGTGAGAGTTTACGCAAGAATTTATCTTAGTCTGAAATATATATGGTTTTACTGATAATTAACTACTGAAAGAAGGGAATGGCTCAGAGATCCCCCTTGTTCATGTATTGAATTGTGTACCAATGAAGTTGGATCAGAGATCAATCTGGCTCAGGGGCACAATTTGATTGGTTCAACTAGTTAAATTGGTGCTTGTTGAACATAAATCATTTGAACTAGGTAATTCATTTAAGTAAAATCAGACTGAATATATACTGGTCCACAGTATGACTGATTGAACTGACCACTTTGGTCTGTGGTTCCCAACATTGACTTTCAAGTGCTATGGGGAGAGTTTTTATTTTCCTCCCTTTTCATATTCAGGATATATTTTGCAATGAGATAAATAATCTTTTTGTTTATAGTAAGCAATTTGCAATCTTTTCTGACAGATAGCATGTTATTTTCTTGATTTAGTCAGGAAAACGGTGGATCTTGATCCTTATTCACCGCCTCGAGAGCTTCTTCAGATACTTCCTCCCAAATCATCCATTAGAGGGTCAGATTGTGGTCCACAAATTGGACCTAATAACCCAAAATTTGCATTGGTATGTTGTTAGAGGCATTTGTCTCTTTGCCCCTTACCTTTTATTTATTTCTTCTTTATTTAGTTATATAATCACTCTGCTAGTTAAAATTTAAAACTTACTTGCAGCTGAACTATGCTTATGGTCCTTCTAACAGGGAATGCAAGCTCTTTTGGATCTCATTTTTGCAGTTGAGGGGTCTGTCTCGGAAGCTGCAAAGTATCTTGGGTATTTGATATTTGCATTAAGTATGAGTTTTTCTTGTGGTGTTTTCAAGTACATGGACCTCATTGGTTACTGTGATCGTGGCATTCAAGATTTATAATATTTTTATTTAGAGGGTTACTTTTGAGGTGAACAAATGCCTTTTACGTGCACCTATGTGAATAATTGTTACTACTTTCTAATGAATGTATGCTCAAAGATTTTATTTTTGCTATACAAGTTGACAAAGAAAATACACAGTAGTTTCACTATTCTCGATTAACTGAAATATTTGCCCTTTTATTCTAGGCTAACGTGAGATGTTTATTTTAATTACTGGCCTACCTATAAATTGTTAAAAACTTTTCTTTAATTGTTTTGGTGTTTATTAATTCTATTGCAGGTTATCCACTGGGGCACTGTCTCGGTTAATCCTATCTGATGAATCACTTAGAAAGGAAGTAAATGATCTGCGGGCATCAAAGGTATACCTTGTGGGAGATTCTCTTGAATGATACCAGTATTTTATCTAATCACGTAATACTTTATTTAATAAGTGGTTACATAAAATGAAATGCATTTCAGATGGGATTGTTAGCACCCGATTCCTGATTTGGAAAAATAAGGAGGGGCCCAAGGAATCAAGTGGGCAAGCCCCTGTTAGCTACTAATTAGGCCTTTATACTTGATTAAACCATGTTAGGAATAGAGTAAAAGTGTAAAACTGCTAAAATTAGTTAATCAGTTAGATTGTGAATGCTATCAATAGAGGCCAGGACATGTAAAGTGAGTTAGTTAATCAATGAGTTTTTTGGGTGGGAGAGACTAGATTCTTGAACTCATGGAGGCTTTTGTAGCAACACATTCTTGCTCATCTTCAAAAACTTTGGATCCCATTGATTTAGTAGGAGAAAAATATTCAATCTCTACGTTTTGAAACAGTGTGTATCGAGGACCTGTTTTTATGATATGTTCAGACTAAAATATGCACAATAAGCTGTTTTTCTCATAACAAAATATATAAATATTATATGTTGTAATTTTCTTTCTATTTATTAGGAAATGAGAGAGTTAGAGATATGATTGACATGGGTAGTTACAATCTGGACAGAAGTTCTGTTATAAATGATTCATTGTATTTCAATTGGTTATCTTAAAATTTGAATTTTGGCCTATTAACTGTCTAAAACCAGCTTGTAAGAGGGGAGTTTTCCATTACATTTATATTTCATATCACTAGTCGGTATGAGAACTCTAATACTTCAACTTATACCAAAGACTAAAACATTTACTGATGATTTGATAATGATTGTATGCAAGCAACTTGATAGGTCCAACAAGAATCACTAAGATAGATGTTGATATCATTTCATAATTAAGTTTAAGTCTAATTCAATCCTATAAAACTCACTTGTAAAATGAAGGTTGTCCTCCTCATTTGCATATACTGCTTTAGTCTTCGTTGATCTTGGGATCTTCAACAGGTTATGTAAGGTTGTCTTCAGACAATCTGTTAAAGGTTTTTGAAGCTTTTGACGGAAACTAGGTGTCTGATTTTTTCTGAGAAGCTGATACAGTTATGTGCTGTAACATGTGTTCATTTACATTTTTCTAGAGGCTTTTTTCTGTACAAAATTTTGTATTAGATTCATCAATAAATAGTTTGCATAGAAGGATATTATTGGGTGATTGATTGATTTTTACACCTGGAGAAATTAGTTTTTAGCTTGATTTGTCTGCGTTCCTAATTTTTAAAATCCTTGGAAATCTTGTAACTAATTGGGGGAGACTTGCATAAAATTAAAGGTAGGTAGAAACTGTTTGAAGTTGAGTATCTTCCACACTTCAAGTTCAAGCATCAAATATGGGTGGATGTGTAATAATTGGTAACTGGTAGCCAGTGGTAACTAGCCACCGATAAAGAAGTTTTCGTTTTTGTCCTTTTTTTTAAACTTTATTTGTATGTGCCAAATGCTGAATATTCCTATTCTTGGAAAGACAAATATTCTTACATTTGCTTGGAGGCAAAGATCATTTCAGGAAATTGAACATCACAGGATTGTTGTAGTTGTGTGCTCCTGCAAGAAACCTCAGTCCAAATACGATTTAGATATGAAAAACCTTGTGATGGGTTTCTCTTCCATTCATTGGCTCAAAAGGGATACCTGTCTGAATTATTATTGCTATAGATTAATCTTTCTTTTTGCTATTGTGAAGGCTCAATTTTCAATGGGGATATTTTAGTTATTTCATTGCTTTGTACCTTGTTGAATGCTGGTAAATGTTTTGGAAATACAAGACATAATCTTTGGTTGGGTATCCAACAGTGACATGCTTCCTTATTGGCTAAACTGCATTCATATTAGATAATAGTTCTTCTGTGATGGACAAAAGATAAGATATGACTCCATCTTTTTCTTTTCGAATAGTATTGCTATATTTTGTTCTCAGCTTCATAAGAAAGTTCTATATTTATTTTATCTAACTACTGGCAATCTACTTTTTGGAACGTGAACAGGGTATGAAGCCTCTCAAGTAGAAGAAGCTCTCAAGTTTTCATTCCTTATGAAGGTACAATTTATTCCATTTCCTGCTAATCATACACCAACAAATTTGAGTCACCATTTTGGGTATAGTTATATAATAAATAGTGAGAGAGAAAAACTTCATTATCTTATAAACTGGTCAGATAATGGAAATTATGTTTCTACTAATTGTTATTTTAAATGATACCATGCCAAACATTCTGTTAGGTTAGTAGTGTTTTTCCCTTAGTCAAATCATAAAAACTTGAATCCAGTTGCAGACTTTAGCTCTTAAACTAAGTGGAAAAGAAAGGATAGATTTTAGTCCAATATTTAGCAAATTCATTATGAAGAACATGTGATTTCCTGGAGTTATTTATGACATTATTTTGTGCAGTTTTTTTTTTTCCTGTTCAGACTTCTCATAGAGATAAGGGGTTCTTTTATTCAGAAGACAAATCTTTGAACCTGTACGAGATATTTTTCCATCAAAAAGCTGATGTTGGCGATGAAAATACTGAAGCTGGTGAGAAGAAAGGTGTCATATGGCTGAATTTTCAGCTTGTAGAAAACTCATTCTTTGAAACTCAATGAGCACGTTGAAAAAGCTGGTGCTTTGAGGTGTGCTGAAGGGAACATTGAGATGACAGAAGATGCATTTCTCTGAATATCAGAACTTTTGAAACAATATAAATTTCTTGATATTCTCACACTGCATACGAGTTATAGTCTCAGTTTAATGACTATATTTTTTCGGTGGAAATGTGAAAGCACTTTTACACTGTCAGCAGAAAATTATCATTTTGATGATTTTTTAGATAATCATTGGACCCTTTGAAACATGGTCATTGGAAAAAAATCCATGATGATTTGTGATTAAATACAATGTGAAACTGTTTTAAATTGTTTATATATAATTTATTTTCTCTTTTATTTTTCTCTCTATCAGTCATCAAATTAAGTTGACAAGATGAAACACAAAATTTAGGTACTTGTAGCATTTATTTAATGTATATATTCTTTTTTTTTCTTGATTTTTTTTGACTGGGTATGTCTTTTATTCTTTATTTGTTTCTACAGAAACCAGTATCAAATTGTTCCTGGAAGTCATGATTCTAACAATATTTCTTCGAACACTCGATGGCATCCACTAACAAAATGAATATATAACATTTTATTGGATAAGAAACGTACATGTAATCATATTCCTTTGGATTTATCTCTTCCAATTTTACAATAGTGTTGCTTTTCAAAGGAAGACTTGTGAACCCCACCTTGGTTTAATTTCGATACACTTTTTCAGTAAGATAAAATAAAATGAATTAAGAAGACACAAATCTTTATTTTTTCCTCAAAAGATCAAATTAATTTGTGCATCTAAGCTTTTTAAAAAGTTTATAGATTTCTTTTTCATGAGTTCAAATGTGTAAAAAGTAATTTGAATTGATGTAAAGAAATTTTATCTATTATATATATATATATATATATATATATATAGTAATTATTTTATCATTTAGTGATATTTTTTAAAATTTAATTGTTTTTATTTATTTAATAATTTTTAAAATTAATTATTTTTTAAAGTAAAATAATTATATATGATAAATAAGAAATATTTATAAAAAAACTTTTAAAAGTTATTTACATTTATATATACAGTTACTATTTTATATCTTTATGAAATTAAGCCTTGAAATTGTGATTCTTGAAAAGTTTTTCATATATCCTATTTAAATTTTCAATGTTTTTATTATAATGTTAGTTTTTATTTGAATATAAAAATTTACAAATTTTTAAAATATTAAATATACTGAACTTTAATTAATTTTTTCATTTTTTAATTTTTTATTCAAACACTAGTAAAAAATTGGGTTTTTACAGCGCACATTATGCCACGGTTCACTAGAAACCGCAGCATAATGGTGCGCGGTGGCAGTTTTGTAATAAATCGAACGAATATGCCGCAGTTCAGAGTGGACCGCGGCATATACTCTGGTCAACCAATCCCTTGACTCCACGTCATAAAAAAATTACCTAACAGCGTAATATCCGAGGTTCTCGGGAAAACCGCGTTCATATACCCTGCCAATTTTTGCAGGGGGGCTGACTGAGTCAGAGAATTTCAGAAGGTACAAACACAGGGGGGAAGAATTTCTGCCCGCGGTTTCGTGGGAAACCGCGACATATACGGCAGTAACTTCTGAACTTCTCCGTCATCAGAGAATTCAGAAGTTTACAGGGGGGTAGTATTGCCCGCGGTTTCGCAAGTAAACCCGGCATTCCCCCTGTCCATATACTATATTCCCAAGGCGGTGGGGAGACAGTTGTAGTCAGCGCGTTTACGGGGTAAGGCCGGGCGGTTCTCAATGAGTAACCGCGACCTATTCTCCTACCGTGCTACTAATTTTTACAATGAATTTGAAATATTTAGAGGAATATACCGCGGTTGCCCGCTGAACCGCGTTATATAGTTTAAAAATAATTTCAAAAATGCCATTTAGGTTATTTTTTAATGAGTATAGGCCGCGATTCGTTGTGAAACCGCGGCATATAACCATCTTATACCGCGGTTAAGTAGTGAACCGCGGTAGATTCTCCAGTCCTAGTTAAAAAACAAAACTTTGGAACAGTATGGTCTGTTCGCGGGCTATACCTTCGCTTTTCTTCTCCGCCAACCCCCATCTCCAGTTCCCTCGTTTCTCTTCACCGTTTTAAACTCAAAATTGTTTCGGTCATTTCCGCATTTTTTGACGATAAAAAACCATTTTTAGTCCGATCAAAATCGTTTGAAACGCCTGTCATTCCTCTCTGCTGCCATTCCCCTTTGTTTTCACCAAGCTTTTTCGCCGCCCCTGTTCGCAGGTATTTATGCCCTTTGCATTCTTCATGAATTTCTTCATTAGTTTTTTGCATAATAACAATTGCTATAGTTTTGGTAATGTATGAAATTACTATAGTTTTTGGTAATGTATGGTATATTTTTTGCTAAAATTTTGTAATGCCATAAATTGCTATAGTTTTGGGTAATGTATGATATAGTTTTTTGGCTATAGTTTTGGTAGTGTGTTGTAGTTCTTGGGCATTATTTATAAACCTTAAAATATTTGCCACTAAGTTTTAATGATATGTATGAAATTGCAAGTTTGATTTTTGTAGCGTTATCTTTTTATGTAATATTTATGAATATGGATCGAAATTGGATTAATTTAACCACGTGATTAGTGTTGAGTACGAGAAGGTGTAGAGAATTATACAATTTGCGCAACGTATGAGGGATGAAGTTGATTGAGAATGATGTTTAGATTCCTTCGTGTGAACTTTTGAATGAGAGAAGTTGAATGGCAACTCAAATTAAGAGAACATCTTATATGTGATTGTTTCCTAAGAAGGCAATACAACATGGATTATGGCACTGCACGAAATGCATTTTCCACTGACTCTCAAAGTGTAAATGTTACTGATTCCACCATGGAAGAAGATCGACCGGATGAAGACAAATTGGAGGACATGATCCGCGATGTTGGAGCATAAAATTTTGCCAAAGCTCATGTGTATGAGACGATGTCGACTGATGCAGAAACACCTTTGTATGTCGGTTCAACTAAGTTCACACGTTTGTCAGCGGTGTTAAGTCTCATGAATTTTAGGCCAGCATGGATGGACATGATAGAGTGTTTTACAGAACTGTTTTGACGTTGTTGAATGAAATGTTGCCAGATGAAATCCACTGTCCACTCGTATATGATGCTAAGAAAATTCTTTGTCCAATGGGTTATGGAGTAAAAAGATACGCTGCCTTGTCCAATGACTGCATTTTTATAGGAAAGAGTTTGAATTTTGACAAAGTGTCCAAAATGTGGCTTTCACGATACCAAGTCAAAAAACAATAGTGAAGATAATGGTCAGATAGAAAAAATGATCTGCTTTGAAATTAGTTTGATACCTTCCAATAGTGCCCATACTTAAGCGTTTGTTTGCGAATCCCAAAATGCTAAAAACCTTAGATGGCATAGATGAGAGAAAAATTGACGGGCTGCTTCGTCCATCCCAGCTGATTTCAAAGCAATGGAAAAATCTTGACGACATTCCCCACTTTGGTAAAGAGTGTAAAAATCTTAGGCTTGTTTAGCCATTGATGGAATGAACCCATTTTGGTAAATCTGAGTACCAATCACAGTTGTTGGCAGTTATATTGATAATTTACCACTTATCTCCGCATTGTGGCATGAAGAGGAAGTCATGATGTTGTCTATGATGATATCTGGTCCCAAAGCGCCTGGAATGACATAGTTATCTCAGGGCCCACTAGTTGAAGACTTTGAAGGTGTTGTGGTTGATTGGGTTGAAATATTTGATGCATTCGCTTCAGAGACTTTTATGATGCGTGCAATGTTATTTTGCAACCATTAATGACTTTCCTGCCTTAGGGTAAATTTGTCAGGATACAGTGGTCAAGGGTCATAACGCGTGTCCTATATGTGAAGAAAACACTACAGCTCATCAATTGAAACATGGAAGAAAGACGGTGTATCTGCTGTCACTCGGAGATTTTCTAACTTAAATCATCATATTCGTAAAGCATTCCAATGGAACAGTTGTTTACCGGTGGCTATCGTGGATTTTTGCCCCAAAAATGTTAGGCACACCATAAACAGGTTGTTGTTCATTTTTCTCGTCAAAATGTAGTAAATCCATCGATCCTACCAAGTTAGTGAACTTCAAGGCGAGATTGTTATCTCTTGTGTCAACTAGAGATGTTTTTCCCTCCATCTTTTTTGACATCATGGTACATTTACTTGTTCATTTGGTTAGAGAATCAAGTTGGGGCGGACCGGTATACTTAAGATGGAATGTATCCTATTGAGCGTTATAGAGGATTTTGAGTGTACGTTAAAAATCCATATCGTCCTGAGTTTCGATGAATGGAAAGGTATATTGCTGAGAAAGTAAATCAGAGTTGTTCAGGATTCATGACCTCAAACGAATCCCAATTCGGATTCCTCGCACGCATGGTTGAATAAATTTTCTACAAGTAAAAGCATCCGAGTTTCAATTGTGACAAAGATCGCGAAGAATTGTTGGCAAGCGCATCTTTATTATTGAACAACACAGATGAGATGATCCCTTTTTTGAAGCACACAAAGCCATTGTTTAATAATAAAATCCAAGACAATCAGAGAACGGCAATCGGATTGAGCCATAAACAAAACATTTATGTCTTGGTTCAAAATCTGAATTGACAAAGAGCCACATTCTCTGAAACTTTCTTGTGGCTTGGCAATGGTTTGAAGTTTGATGTCGTGTGTTTGTACAGGTTATGAAGTCAATAAGTGCACATTCTATACGAAGACTTTGGATATAAAAGCATAGTACAAAATAGTGGAGTCAGTTTAGAAGCTGAGTCGCCTTCAATTTTCCACATCAAAAGATCATCTCCTGTAACTTGGATCAAGAGGATATTCTGGTATAATAGAAGAGATATGGTAGGTTTGATTACACCAATTTTTTTGTTCCACTCGTTCAATTGTAATTGGTTTGACAATAAGAGTGGTGTGAAAATAGATGACTCGGGTATGACACTGGTTGATTTTCGCAAGGTGGGTTACCGAGACGAACCGTTTATAATGGTACATCAAGCATCTCAAGTTTTTTATGTCAAAGATCCTGCGTCTGACCATTGGTATGTTGCTCTTCAAGGCAAAAAACAAATTGAAGTTACGAAGACAACTGATTATATTTATATTGCTTAACAACTTCATTTCAAACTACAACAATTTTGATGACCAATCTCTATTGGAACGATGATGTACATGTCAATTCGGTCAGATCATGAAGTGAGGGAAATATACCATAGATGACTCCATATCTTATGTAGAATTTTCATTCTGTATAGTATTTTATTTTAATATCACTAAGTTTTCCTTTTATACATTTCCTATGATTACTATTCATGTTTTTGTTAATTTAATATGATAATGACATAAGTCTTGAAATAAAATTTAATGTTTTTTATTTATTTTTGACAGTATATTGGCTGAATCATCCACATTCTTCAGGGGATGAGGCTCCCCCAACCATATCCACTAGAGACCCACTAGGATGAAACAACTATTGATCCGGAAAATAGTGTGTGAAAGAACTCCCCGGTGGAATGTGAATGGTCACACGGTGTGCACTGGCCCCCATGCAGATGACTTCCGATCAACCTTGGAGTGGTGGCACGTGATAAGATTAGCATCTCATTCCATCTTTTGATCATGTGTCCCGAGGTTGATCGGAGCATTATTTTGAAAGATATATTGGTAAGTTTAGTTAATAGCATTTTAAT